CCCCCCCCCCCCCCTCTTCCTCTCGGCCCATGCACGCGCACATGATGTCCACAGTAAAAGGTCTGAGCCAGCTTTTGGCCATGTACTCCAGGAGGGGCGGCGGACTGCCGGTTGTGCGCTTTCCCTACACGACGCTCCTCCGATCTCCCTCTTCCTCTCGGCCCATGCACGCGCACATGATGTCCACAGTAAAAGGTCTGAGCCAGCTTTTGGCCATGTACTCCAGGAGGGGCGGCGGACTGCCGGTTGTGCGCTTGCCTGGCCGTCTGCGCACGCGCGCGCGCGCGCGCGCACATGCACGTGCATACCCCCGTCCCGATGCCCATCCACCGGCCAGCGGCCAAGGTCTCCACACACCCACACCCTCCTTTCCCTGCCCAGCCCGATACCCGGAGCAACCCTTTGGCAGTTGCTCGGGCCTACTTGGCGGGCTAGAGGAGACCGTGGCTGCGGGCCGGCTGGTGGCTTCGCTTGGCAATGTCCGGCGCGGGGGAAGCCACGAGGGTGCCCGCGCGCAGCGCCAGCCACGGCCACCATGCTGCTGACACACAGGCCGCAGGAGAATGGAAGACGCCCTCGGGGGGCTGCCCACTCCTCGCACTGGATCGAGGGCTGCCCGGTCTCTTCTCCCGCGGGCCTTTTTTGTGGTCCGCCCTCCCCTCCGTCGGAGTCCTGGCGCGCGCTGGTAGATGATCACACAAAAGCACCTGACGCGCTGGCAACCAAGCACCCATCTCTTTTCTTCCTCCTCCCCTTGGCCTTCTCTCCCTCCCCCCCCCCCTCACACACACACACACACACACACACACACACACACACACACACACACACGCCCCTGCTCGCACACATGCGCGCCAAAACACTTGCATTCGCGCAATTCCCCCTTTCCCACCCCGCTGTCCCCCTGTCACCGAGCAGGTTCGACCGTTGGCGTCGCTGGACTCGTGCGGCCATCTATGACGCGGCCATCGTCTGGTTCACCTCCGAGTGGTACCGCACCGTGTTGGAGAAGTTGCCGGCCAAGTCCAGCGTCCTTGATGTCGGTGTCGGTGCGTTTCCTCCTCCTCCCCCCCCTCTCCTCCCCTCTGGAGCGTGGCTCCTGCCTTCGCCCCTTCCCCTCTCGCCACGCCCAACCTCACGCGCCGCATCCCGGCATTTCAGGCACCGCGGCTGCCCTCCTGAACAACATTTCTATCATCAACGAGCGCCAACTCCGCATCAAGGGTGTCGACATCGATGCCGATTACATTGCTCGTGCGCAGGATCTCATCCGCGACAAGAACGCCTCGGGCCTGGTGAACGTACGTCCGGCTTGTAGATCGACACCCCCGCCCTCGTGTTCTTCTCCCCCCCTCCCTCTCTCTCTTTCTCTCTCTCTCTCTCACTCTTGCTTTGCACGGATAACACCTGGTCCTTTGCCCCTCCTGCCCCTTCTCCGGCGCGCGCTCCGGACCCCAGGTCGAGCATATGTCCATCTACGATTACTTCCTGCCGCCCGGTGGCCAGCGCTTTGATGCGGTCTACTTCAGTGGGTCCTTCATGCTGCTGCCCGACCCGTCGGCTGCCCTGCTCCATGTGAAGGCCAATCTCCTGAAGGAGGGCGGCCTGCTCTACTTCACGCAGACTTTCGAGCGGCGCCGGTCCTTCCTGGTGGAGACCATCAAGCCCCTGCTTCGTGTCATTACCACCATCGACTTCGGTCGGGCCACTTACTATGACGAGTTTGCTCGGCAGCTCTCGGCCGCCGGGTTCAAGATCACTGCCGAGGAGGAAATCGGTTCCGAGTCCGGCGGCGGTGGTCGTGGCAATGTCATGCTCATCACCGCGGCCGAGGCGGAATCCGTCGCCAGCAGCAGCAGCTCGCTCATCGACTGAGTCTGCCACATATACACCCCCCCCCCCCCCCCCCCCCCCCTGTCTGGTCCTCCCTTTTTTTCTTCCCCCCTCAAATCATGTCCTTGTCGGTGTGCCACGCGCGATGCCCGGAGGCGCCTCTCCGTGTATGGCCTGCGTGCGTATGCGCGTTTTCTCTCTCCCTCCCCCCTGTCAAGTTTTAGATCATAGCCTGCGCGCAGTGATGCATCAGTCCAAATTTGGCTGCCCTTCTCTCTCTCTCTCTCTCTCTCTTTCTTTCTCTCTTTGTCGCTCCCCCTCCCCCTCGACGTCATTACCCTTCGTTGGGGGAAGATGCTCCCACGGGTATGCAGATGCATATACATGGAAATATGTGTGTATCTACACATGAGTGAACAGCATGCGCAGGCGCGAGGGTGTGCGTGTGTGTGTGTGTGTGTATATTGTACCCAGGTAGCAGTGTTGAAGTAAACACATGAGCAAAGATGCACGCGGGTGTGCGTGTGCTCGGCGCATGGGAAGGAAGGCCGCAACAGGAGGCCGGGGGAGCAGAGCAGTTGCACATTTCCCCCTAGAAGCCGGTCTGCACGCGGAGCTCCTCCAGGTAGGTGTGAATCTCGTCGACCTCGGAGTTCAGGGCATCCGCGATGGCGGCCTGCTTCTCCAGGGACAGGGTGGAGAAGAGCTCGCACAGGGTGCCATCAATGACATTGCGCACCGGGGTATAGTATGACCGGTAGGCCAGGTGCGAGCGGCCAATCAAGGAGGACACCTCATTGCGCATGTGCATCTCCAGCAGCTGGAGGAATTCGATGTTGGTCTGTCGGCGGATGGGAACCATGACACCGACTCCACCGAGCAGGGTGGTGTACATGATGTTCTCATCGTCCGAGGCGCCGGTGGCCGCGTGCGGCTGGGCGCGATGGATGGAGGTGATCATATCGCCAACATGGTATTCACAGATGTTGGTGAACTGCAAGCGCCGCAGCCGGAGACAGCACCAAGGGAAGGCGCGAGGGGGAGGGGGATGGCCAGGGAGGGAGGAAAAGCCGAAGGCATCCACGGTCAGCACATGGGTAGACGGGGGGGAAGCGGGGGAGAAGGCACAGGAACCGGCGCCAGATGGGCAACACTGTGGCGGGAGAGGCCCTGCGTGGGCAACGGAGGACGCGGTGTGGCTCTCCTCGAGAGGCGTCAAATGCATACCTTGTAGGGGGCGCCGCCGAGGAGGCCGCGCTCGAAGTCCACCCGGTCGGCCGACGGGTGCCAGTTGGGATTGGTGATGCGGCCAACCGACTCGTGGTGCACGCGCAGGAGGCTGAAGTTGCCGAACTTATCCCCCACGGCGAGGGTGTTATGATCGAGGGCCGTGACGGCGGTGGCCCAGCGGGGCACCGTGTCATCGACCACCACCACCAGATGGTTCTCCGGCACCGGCAGGTAGGACACCAGGCTGACGGACTCCTGGACATCGGACACGATGATGCGGTCATCCGCACCGTCCCCCCGGCCGCCGGGGGTCTCCGGGGCCTGGATGCGCGTGATGAGGTTCGGCAGGTTGCGGTTCTCGCACTTGCGCAGCAGCCGCCGGCGGCCATTGTCATACAGGCGCAGGGTGCGCCCAAGGCCCACCAGCAGCCGGCCCCGGAAGCCGCACACGGCGGTCGGCGCATCATCGACGTCGGTCTGGAGAGGACGGGGTCGCGGGTCAGATGGAGATGCAGGGCGAGCGAGGGGCGGGCGGGGAGGCGCGCGCAAAGAGACATAGAAGGAGGCCCACGCACCGTATGCACCAGGCTTAGGGTCTTGGCCGTCTCATCCAGCGCATAAACGTGGAGCTTGCCGCCGGCGCACTTGCGCGGGGCCAGCTGCAGGTTGACCGCCGTGCCGACAACCACATGCGGCGCCGGGGGATTGGGGTTGGGCCCCGTGTGGCCGACCGGCGCCGGGGGCTGGAGCATCACAAAGCCCATGCTGGTGATGGCCTGGTTGTTGCCGAGCTCCTCGACCCATGTCGTGGCTGTGAGGGGCTGATCGGCCGGCAGGGTGCCCCGAGCCACCGGGGTCATGGTGCCCAGGTGCAGCGCTTGGCGCAGATCCACCACGCGCAGGCATGAGGCCCAGAAGCCGGCCGGCGCGCGCACCGACGGAAGCGATGCCGCAGACTGGCACACGGGAGGCGGGGCAGCGATGTTAGCCAGCAGGACAACGAGGGCGAGGGGGGCGGCCCATCAAAATGGCGGGCCCCGCCCCGGAAGGGGGCCGGGGCCGGGGCCGGGGGGGGGGGGGGGGGGGGGGGGGGGCAAAGAAACGACAAGACAGGCCACGCGGGGACAGGCCGCGCCCGCGGCCTGCCCTAGCAATGGCATGGCATCCCATCCAACGAGCCACGGCCCGGCATGACGCACCGTGTCCTTCGAGGAAGCCGGCTGGCCCTGGGCTTCGAGCAGATCATCCACACCCCATGCCCGGTGGTCGACCTCCCCCACAAAGGCCAGGCCCAGCCGCGGGCAGATGCTCATCTTGCGGGGGGTGTAGCGCAAGGCCACGCGAGCGGCCGTGTGGAAGGTCGCCCCGCGAATGAGGCCACTCTCGCCGGCTGAGGTGTCGGTTTTGGGGCCGGCACCGGCGTCAGTCAGGCCGGGCCCGACGGCCGGCACGGCCGGGGTCAGGTCCAGCACACGCATCTTCCGGCCGGAAATGGCGAAGAAGGAGTTACGCGGGAACTTGTCCGTGGAGAAGGGGACCGCATGGTCGACGGCCACCGGGCCATCCGTGGCCCCGGCCCCGGCCCCGGCCCCGGCCCCGGCACCAGGAGCATCCCCGGCATCGATGGTCAGCGGCAGGACCGAGACGCGCCCCTGGTGCGAGTAGCACACATAGGAAGCCGGGGAGGACAGGACCAGCACCGCGTCACGGCAGTGGTCAAAGGCGGCGCTCTGGTCCAGCACGGAGTTGGTGGTCAAGGGCGACAGCTTGACCGGGGTGTGGCCGACCAGGCGGTTGCGCGGGCTGCTCAGCATGCCGGTCAGCCGGTCGATGTTGGTCCGGACGAGGACGCCATTGCGCAGGCCGATGAGCAGGGTGAACTGCCCGCTGATGGGGGCCGCGGCGCCGGGAGCCGGCAGGTCCTGCAAGTTGGTGGCCAGGATGGACGACGGCGGGGCCAGCAGGGCCTGGGTCATGAGCGTGTCGAAGAAGCCATCCGGGTCCAGGGACAGCACTCGCACGCTCTCGTCCTCCAGCGTGCCGACAATCAGGAACGGCGACCGGACCGCCCCCTCGGACACAATGCCGAAGGCCATGGCCGTCACCTCGGCCCCCAGGGACTTGTGGTGCTGGTACTCATTGAGCTGGCCATGCTGGTCCAGCTCGAAATAGACGATCGGCCCGCCGGGCTCGGCGAAATCATCCCCCGAGGCACCGGCGCCGGACGCCTGGTTCAGGGTGATGGCCACCTGCCGGGTGTTGGCGATGGCATGGACAATCTGCGTGCCCGGGGGCGGGCGCCACTCCTGGACACTCTTGTCCGGGCGGATGTGCCGCACACCATTGGCATGGACCTGCACCAGGCCGGCGCTCTGGTCCGCCAGGCCGGCCCCACCGAGGTGCGCCGCGCAGATGGTGGCCACCTTGGTCAGGAACCCGGCCGCATCCTCGACCACCGTCACATGGGCACTCTGCACCGAGAGGACCAGCGTATCATTCAGGAAGGACAGGACCAGGTACGAATCGAAGAGGTCTGTGTGGGTTTGGCCGGTACCGGCCACAAAGAGGGCAAGGGGGGGGGGGGGGGGTATTTGCATGTGAGTACGCGGGTGCATGAGTGTGTGTGTGTGTGTGTGTGTGTGTGTGTGTAGGGGAGGGGAGGGGAGGGGGAGGGGGGAGCAGGATGGAGGAAAGCCGCCAAACACCCAGGGATCAGCGAGAACGGATGTGTTGCCCCGGGAGGTGGGGGAGGGGCCGTCAGGGGACCAACGCACCGGACGGGCGCTGGCGAAGAGCCCAAATGCCGGACGGGACACCGGGGAACTCGGCCACCGCCGAGCCCCGGTCGCCGATGACCGAGCGCACGCCAGCGCGCAAGAGGCGCAGCTCGGCCCCGCCACCGCCCACACTGCCGGACCCGGTCAGGGTGACCATCACCCGACCGTCGGACGCCTGGACATGCTGGCCGATGGAGCTGTCGGTGAAGGAGACCGGCAGGATGCCGGAGTCGATCAGCGGCGACAGGCTGGCCACCGAGTCGACCGGCGCCAGGTTGACCAGGTCGCCCGGGGCCCGGGGAGTGAAGAAAGCCAGAGGGCGCTGGGCCGTGGCCAGGGCCGTGGCATCGGCGGCGCCCACGCGCGAGGTAAACCCAAAGGACCGAGACATGTTGGCGAACCCGGCATCCGTGCGGTAGTACTGGGCATACTGCCGGGTGAAGTCGCTCGCGCGCAGGGGATCCTCCTCGACAGTCTCGCGGGTGGACTCGATGAGACGGTAGACGACGCTGTGTGCAGGAGGGGGGGGGGGGGGCGGTGTTTCGGTGTCAGTGCAGCTGCCAAGAGAGGGCCAGGGGCGTGGCCAGGGGCGTGGCTGCCCTTGGGGCCGGCCAGGGGGAGCTGGCGCAAGCGGCTGCCGGACGTACTGGTCACCGAACTCCGAAGCCGTGAAAAAGGCCCCAGCATCCTCAAGGAAGCAGAGCGATGCCGCCACCGAGGGCAGGGTCTCGATGTACTTGAGGACCATGTCCACCGGCTGGGCGGTCTTGGGATCGAGCTCGATGATCAGGCGGAAGAGATCCCCATCGTCCGACTGGAGGAGGTACACGATGCGACGCTGGAGGGAGGCGCGGCGGCCGAACGGGGCACGGGCAGGGCCAAGCAAATACCGTCAATGCCACCATCCAGCCGGGGCTCGACCGACTCAAGTGGGAGGGGGAGGGCGGAAAAGGAAGAAGGCCAGGGTACGCACATTCTTCCGGGTGCGAATCAGCACGGCCGAAGTGACCATCGAAGGCCGGGCAATGTCACCCAGGGGATGGTTCCGCCGAGGGAGAGGAACCCGGAGCTCCGGAGTGTCCGGGCCAATTCCGACACCGCGCCAGGCAACCGTGTCCGCCGAGAAGATCAGCACACCCGAGGGACAGCCGGTGGTACCGGGAACTGCCCGGACATGGCCGCGGGGAGGGGGGGGGGGGAGGGATTAGCAGAAGGATGATGACGGGGCAGGGGATCGTGCTGAGGGGGGAAGCAAGGAGAGCGAGAGCGAGAGCGAGAGCGAGAGAGACGACGGCCAACAGCGCGTGCGGCAGGGCGACATACCGGGAACGAGCATGTGCGAAGTCGCGTCGATCGGAGTGCGCGCCTTGCGGACCATGTGGTTGAGAGCCAGGTCCAGCTCGTAGTACGACAGGACCTTGATCAGGTCGCTGGCCGCCTCGCCACTCGGGTCCATGTCCATGTCCTCATACTCGGACTCCAGGGCCGCGAACACCGGGTTCCGGGTCCCAACGTCCAGGCCGACCACCGCCAGGCAGACCGAGTTCGGCACATGGGCCTCCAGCGGCGAGGAGATGGTCAGGCGGTGGGCATGGTCGCGGCTCAGCACATAGACAAGCTTCTGCTTATCCAGGGCACCGACGAGCAGGGCACGCCCGAGGGGATCGACAGCCAGCAGCTGCCCGGGGACCATGCGCCGGACGCCGGTCCGGCTGTAGGGCTCCTCGTGCACCGTGAGGAACTGCTTGATAACCGGGTTGTACTCGAGGATGACGATCTTGCCCGAGTCAGAGCCGATGGCCAGGAAGTCTGTGCTCGGGCCACAGGGCGCCCGGGGGCGCGGGAGTTAGCGATGGTCCTGGTGATTTGGGAGCGAGACACTCCGGCCCCCCCCCCCCGCCAGGGGGGAGGGGAGAGGGGGGCGCACCCTTGTTGCTGGCGTAGGTGTGGAAGGCCACGGCACTGCGGATGACACCGAACATCTCGGTCCGGGACATCTCATGGATGCGGCCCTCGTCGTCCACCCGCACAAGGGTAATGGCGGTGTGCTGGATGAGGGCAATCTCCTGCAGAGGCCAAAGGGGCGAGCGGATGTACGTGTGTGCGTGTGTGCGTGTCCGGGGCATGGGTATGTCAATGGGTGTCCATGTGCGAGTGCGTTGGCGAATGCCCGACGCAAGAGAGGGGGACCTCTTCCCCGGGTTATGGGCGGGTAGAGAGGCCCGGGGGGGGGGGGGGGGGGGAGGGCCGCGCACCTTCTGCTTGTCAATACCACAGAAGGCGCCGATCACGGCAGCCCCGGCACCAAGAGTCCCGCCACCAGTGACGGCCGTCTGGTTCTGCAGGTTCAGCTGGTACAGGTGAGCCGTAGGCGGGGGCGGGGGAGGAGGGGTATCCACCTCCTGCATGGGGGGGTCGTGGCTCTCGGCGCCCGAAGGGGCGGCAGCCATCTGGGCAGACATGATGGCAGCGGGGAGGACGGTCGGGGGGAGAGGCGGACGCGGTGCGATGCGATGCGGTGCGGTGCGGTGCGTGAATGTGTGTGTGTGTGTGTGTATGTGTATGAGGAGGGGGGGGGGGTGACTCCTGCCGGACAGGGGGAGGGAGGGAGAAAGGCGAAGAAGGGATGGCTCAAGGGAGAGGCGGGAGGGAGAGGGGCCGGCGACGGGTATCCTTCCAGGTGCCCGTCCGCTGTGCGCGGCTTGCTCTTAGACCACCGGCCCTCGGCCCGGGGGCTCGGCGGCCGGAACCGCCCCAGCCCACCCACCACCTCCCCAGACGCACACGCCCCGACACGCACGGCGCCGCCAGTTTCCGGGAGGCAACACTAGCGTGCGCAAGAGGCCGCCGAGCGCGGCAGAGCGCAGGTAACAGATTCGGCGCGCGCGCACATCACATGCTCGGGGCTCCACGATTCCGCTCCGACCGTTGGCATCTGGCCACGCAGGCGCCTTCACCCGCCGGTTCCTCTCGCCGGGGGCGTGCGCGATTTGCCGGCTCTGGGGGGAGGGAGGCAATCACCAGCGGGCGGGCAAGAAGGGCAAGAAGGGGTCTTTTGGGAGGTTTTTTATCTATTCAATCAGGGAGCCAAATGCGAGGGGGTGGCACACGCATGCTTGAGTGTGTGTGTGTGTGTGTGTGGGCGTGCGCGCGCTGGGAGAACACCGACATCGGGCGAGGGGCCAGCAGGGCCGGCAGGCGTGCGGGCAGAGGCACGCTCACCAGAGCATGCAGCCGGGAGGGCACACAGAGGGGGGGGGGGAGGGGGGGGAGGGAAAATGCCGCAACGCGCGCGCGCAGCCTCCTGCACCGGAGCCGCCGCCTGGCCCCTCGCCCCCCGGGAGGGCACCTCCTCTCATGAAGAGTGGAGCCCCAGGGTATCGACCAGGGTCTTGGCAATCTTGTTGACCATGTCCTGCGAGCAGCCGTCGGCCATCTTGATGGCCTCGGCCAGTAGAGCCACTGCCCGGTAGGCGTTGGCCCCCTCGAGCGAGCCCAGGCCACGAATCCAGACGACGCCATTGTCGCCGACACAATCCTCAAAGTGGAAGTGCGTGCGCATGATGTCCAGCACGCTGAGGGGCTGGCGATCGCGGGCCGGGGGCCGGGTGTTGCCGGCCGGGCATGGGGCGCGCAGGCGCCGGGCCGCGGCAATCGGCACATTGAAGCAGTAAATGGGCCCGTCCACCGGCAGAGCGCCATAATGGCCGCCAAGCCCATCGGCCTGGCGACAGTCCAGCTCCGGCGGGTCCAGGTCACGGTAGGCCATGGAGATGCGCGTGTAGATAACGGCTCCGGGCTGCGAGCAGATCCGCGACACAGGAGACAGGGGGGAGGGGGGAGGGGGAGGGCACGGCGCGGGGTCGAGCAGGAAGAGCGCACGCAAAGGTGAGTCCAACACATGGGACGAGCTGGGGGCAGGATCAGGACCGGCTGGGCATGCACGCACCTTGAGGTCGGGGTGGACCTTCTTGGTTGCCCCCTCGAAGGCCATGAGCGGCAAAGAGGCGAGAGTGGGCGCGCCGATGTCCACGCGGTAGGTTTCCCCGGCGCGGTCGACAATGACACCGATCACCGACTCATTCTCGGCCGGAAGGTACTGGACGAGGGGGGGGGGGGGAAGGGGCAAATGGCAAGGCAGCCAGGGTCAGCGATGACGTCGGACAAGATCGCAAGGCGGGGGGGGGGGGGGCACCGAGCGAGGCCGGAGCAAAGACAGCCCCGACGGTGAATGCCGGTGCCAGGACGCACCCGGCGGCTGTGGGACTCCACCCAGAGGGATTTCGGGGCGGAGGCGCTCTTCGCGGCGCCCGGACCGCGCCATGCCACACCGGCCCTGGAGCTGACGATGGCCACCGGCGTGGCCGAGTCGCTGGGCTCCGCCTCGGCGTCCAGCAAGATGGCCCGCACACCGGGGCCCAGGGTCAGAGGGGCGTTCTCCGTGCCGCTGGCCAGGTTCCCGGCCGTCGGCGAGGCCGCCGCCACCGATGGACAGTTGGTCCAGAGGGTGTCACCGGGGAGGACAACGCTGGGAAACGGGGAGAGGGGGGGGGGGGCGGGCGGGGAAGGGGGGAAGGAAAGGGAGGGAGGGGCGGCCGAGCCCGGGGTCCGGGCAGAAGGAGGGAAAAACGCAGGCTGTTAGGTGGGCATTGCACCGAGAGGAGGAGGCACATGCAAGATCTCGTACGTCAGCTCGTGTCCGTTATTCATAGTCGGTTGGGCAAGGGAGGGAGGGAGAGAGGGGGGGATATCAAAAGAAGGGGGAGCAGGAAATGGAGGAGAGGCGAGGAGGAAGCGGGATGGAGGAGGGTGATACCCAGAGACACATCCCACGGAAGGCGGCAGGTCTGCCGAAAAGGCACCTCACGCCCCCCCCCTCGAGCCCCACGGCCGGCCCCTCAAACGGCCGGGGCCTGTCTACGCAAGGTGGGCGTGGCCGGGGAAACGCCGCTCCCCCCCCCCCCCCGGACCCGGGGGGAAACATGCCCGCATACGATTCTGCGGGAATAGAATGGGGCCATGGAATGTATCACGCCACATGGTATCCAGGTCACGCGCGCGCAGACCCGTCTGGAGCCGGGGCACCGAGCAGAATGTTCCCCCTTGGGCGCGAGAATCGGTGCAAGATGCCGCAGCCCGGCCTCCAGGGGTCCGGACAGCCCCCTGCTGGCTGGCCGCCGCGCCTTCTTGCCCGGGACCGCGGCGCCCGCCGAGCGCGCGCGCGTAGACCGGGTGTGGAGCCGGGCACGAGGGGGAGGGGGGGGGGGGGACACAAGATGCGGAGGTGCAGCTAAAACCGCCTCGAACAAGGGCCGGGACACATTTGCCGGGGCGGTGTGGGAGCCCCTGACGGACCGCGTCTGGGCATCTAGTTGCCTCCCCTCCCCCTGCCCGCTGTTCTTTTTTCCTCCTCCCCTGCTTGTTGCCTTTCCTCTTGTTCCCCCCACAGCCCCGCCGTCCCCGCCTCTCCCAGCCCTTCCTCCCGCTCCTCCATCTCCCTCTGTGCGGCGGAGCACACACACACACACACACACACCATCATGAGCTCGAATCCGCCCGCTGCCCCGCCTGGAAGCGCCTTCGCCGCCGCCAGCCGGCGGATGATGGAGCGCCGGTCCCCTTTCTCATCAAACCTCCCGGCCAACATGGAGGAGTTTACGTGCGTTCTCCCTGTGTCCCCCGCACACCGCCTTCTTGTGTTTGCATGTGTGCCTGTGCGCCCGCGCACGCGCACGCGCTCATGTGTCGCTTCCTCTCATGCTCACCGCTCGTTGAAATGCCCTCGCCCCCCCCCCCCCTCCCGTTCGCCGTGTGCCGGGCTCAGGCTCGTCTCGCATCTGGCTGACATCGGGCACCAGTACCACCTGATGACCTTCCAGACCCCCTCGCAAGACCTGCAGTCGCTCCGTGACTATGCCGTGGCCACCGGCACGGCCACCGGCGGCCCGAAGACGCTCAACATCCGGAAACAATTCCGCATGCAGGCATCGGGCTTCCTGCGGGACCAGCAGCGACTCATCACCCGCCGCGGTGGTGTGGTCCACCAGCCCCAGAACACCCCGGCCGTGGCCGGGCTCACCCCCGGGTCGAGTGTCCTGGGTCTCGGGTCGCCGGCGGCAGCTGCCGCCGCTGCTGCCGCCGCGGCCGCTGGCTCTGCAGGCGCCGGAGCCGGAGCCAGTGCCGCCGGCCCGGCTGCCGGCGAGGATGGCGACGAGAAGCCCCGGCGCCGGCGGCAGAAGACCCGCCAGCTGTCCATCGACCGGCGCACCCCGGAGACGCACTTTGTCACCATGCGTGTTCGTAGTCCGATCCTCCCGCCCCTCTCCCGGCTCTTCCGCCGCCTGGCTGACGGCCTGCCGCCCCGCCTGACTGACCCCCCTTTCCGCCTTCCGCCCCTGTCTCCTTGATGTCCTCGTCGCGTGGCCATCCCCCCTGTGCATGTAGGATCGCTCCCCGTGGACGCTTACCGCCTGCGACACGACCTACCACGGGAAGGCCGACACCACGGACGGGGCCACCCGGTCGACGTATGTCATGCTGGTGCGCGACGCCACCAACCCCGGGCAGCTGAATGTCATCCCGGTGACGCAGACCTATGCCTTTGCGGCGATGCGTGTCTCGGAGCTTCCGTCCGAGCCGACGCAGGCCGCCATCGCCGCGCAAAATGCCGCCGCCCTGGAGGCCGGCCTGCCGCCGGTCAACCGGAATGAGCCGACCGAGGCACTGAAGAAGTTCCGCGAAATCGAACGCCGCAATGCGGAGCGCATCCGCCTGGAGCAGCGCATCGCCGGGCGCATCAACCGCGGCAGCGGCGGGTATGTCGGCTTCTCCAGGAGCATCGCGCTCCCGACCTCTCCCGACCTCTCCCGACCTCTCCCCCTTGAACTCTCGCATGGCTAACCTCCCTGCATTTTGCTTGGCTCCGCTGCTTTGGCTCCCGTCGCAGGGGTGTTTCGGCCATTCGCTTTGGTCGTGCTGGCCGTGGTGGCCGCTCCGGCAACTGGTCCGACGATGATGAGGGTGAATCCGGCGGCCGGCAGTACCGGCGCCTGATGGATGGCACCGGCCCGATCGATGAGTTCGACAACCCGGACGATGACCCGGAGGGCTTCGGCGAATTTGCCGAGGACGACGACCAGGAGGAGTTCGAGGACGTCGAGGTCAACCCCGATGAGGATAGCACCTGGCTCTTCGATGACACCGGCTCCAACGTGCATGATGACTTTGACCATGAGGAAATGGAGCGCAATCTGTCGGTGCGTGACAGGGCCCGCTGCCGCGCCCTCCGGTGTGCCTGCTGCCCTCTGCACCTTTTCCTTCCCCCTGCGCCTGCCGGCTCCCGCCTGTCCTTTGTCAGGCACTCGCCGGTCCCTCCCCCCCCCCCCCTGTCCTGCCAGGTGTCCTGGCTCGCTCTCACACCAAATCCACACGTTCTGCGCCTGCACCTACACACACACACACACGCGCGCGCGCGCGCGCCTGTTTTACTCCACGTGCCCACAGTACCAAGCCATGGACACCATCGAGGATGAGGAGCGCCGGCAGCGGAACCGCGCCCGCCGGCGCAACCCCAAGTTCCAGGCGGTCTGGCGCGAGTCGGTCATTGACCGCGGTGGCCAGCAGTCGGAGGACTCCGACTCGGAGGAGTACTACTCCAGTGACTACGACCCCTATGCCGCGGTCAGTGACGGCGGCTTCACCAGTGACGAGGACGCCGATGAAGACGGGTCCGACCTGGCTGCCGGGGGAGACGCCTCGGAAGCCGCGCAGCTGGCCGGCACCGGCAAGCGCAAGCGCCCCCAGTCGGCCGGCAATGCGGCCAAGAAGCCGGCTGTGCGTCCGATCCCTGCTCATGCTTGTTCCCTCCCCCGCCCCCTCTCTTTGCCCCCGGCCTTTGCACACTCCATCTCCCGGCTCTAACGGTGATGTGTCTCGTCTTGCCGCCCTGATCGGACGCCTCCCTTTTTCATTCCGCAGCTCGATCCTACCCGTAAGTGCCCCGCTTCCTCGCCGCCTTTTTCTTTTTTTTGGCATCCTCTCGCGTTTAGATCGCCGTGCTCATGCCCCCCCCCCCTCCCTTTCCCCCTTCCTCCCTGCCCCGGATGGCCCTTGTCAACACCGCTACACACAGTGCCGAACCTCCTCACGGCTCAGGACCTGCTGGACCGCTGGAACAGCCGGCCAAGCCCCATCTCGCTGGACTCCTTCCGCAAGCAGTGCGTCCTCCCCCTCCCCCCTGCGTTTGGCTGTTCGTCCCTCGCCCCCCCCCCCTCTCTCTCTCTCTCCCACCTGTGTATGCTGACCTCCTCCCGTCTCTTCTCACTCTCGCTCGCGGGCACACCCAGCTTCGATGCGCATTTCCAGGCGAACAAGAACAACACCACCCTCTTCCGGGACCTGGTCAAAAACCTCTTTGTCATCGATGGGACCGGGCGCCGGTCGCGTATCGTCGGACTGGCGAATGCGGAGTGATGCTCGGGTCGTGCTCCTCGCTCGATCCTCCTCCTCGTGCTTGCGCCCTTCCCCCGATCCAGCTTTGCCCCCCCCCCCCCTACCTCCCACCTGGCCGAGCTCTGCTTCTACAAAGACCTGTCATGCATTCGCTGCTTGGACTACAGCCGGCGCATGGCATTCAGGGTGATCTCCACGACGGCCGTGTACGCGGCATCCGGCAGGTGGAACATGTCCGGCATGAGGCCCCATGCGGCCAGGCCGATGGTCGGCCCGAAGAGATCCACAATGACAGCCAGGTCGCCGATGGACGAGCGGATGTCCAACGCCCGGGCGCGAATCCGGCGATTGGTTTGGATGAGACGCTGCCCGGCGCGGGCGATGACCTCATCCTGGACCGGGGTCCGGTCGCCGGCGCGGAAGCGCTCATGCACACGCGCGGCCGCCAGCCGCAACCCCGCCGCATAGAGCCCATCATCCCGGACATCCGGGCCCAGGTGACTGGTCACCACGGCATCCGTGCGGACGGCCATCTCCGTCAGGAAGAGGATGCGCTCGCGGGGGGGAATGCTGGCGGCCTTCTCCGAGGCCGGGGTGTCGGCCAGCAGGCGGCTGTACCGAGTCAGGGCCTGGCGCAGGGGCAGGCCAATGTCGTGCACCCGATGCGGGGCCTGGTGCTCCATCATGAGCCACAGCATGTCCGGGGCGCGTCGTTCTCCGAGACGCTCGGCCTGCGGGTCCGGGTGGGGCGCCGGGCCGCTGGCCGACCCGGCGGCCGTCGGCGCGGCCTGCACCGGGAAATGATGCCGATAGTAGGCCGAGGCGATCAGATCCCCCGGGGCCAGGCCGGCCTGGGTCAAGTCCAAGAGCAGGCTGGTTTCCAGGAGCTCCCGCTGGAGGCCGTCATCGCTGGTGGCGGTGCCGGTGGTGCCGGTGGTGCCGGTGGTGCCGGTCTTGGCCCCTTCGGCCGCCGGTCGGCCCTGATACACCCAATGGCGGAAGGTGATGACCGCGCCGTTGGCCGGCAGGCAGGCTCGGACCCGGCCCGAGGAGTGGCTCCACACGCGCGATGGCCCGGCCGTCCGGGGGTCCGTCGTCGAGGGGAGGATGTCGCACAGGCGCTGGAATGTCCGCTGGGCATTGGACCCGCCGATGATGCGAATCCACCGGCGATTGGTGCGCACGGTCGGGTCGTCACGGCGCTCGTAGCTGAATAGCCACTCCTCCACGGGGTCCTGCTCGAAGGCATCCAGGTCGATGCCCAACGGCAGGCCCTTGTGGAAGCCGACGGCGGTCAGATTGTCGGCGTCGTGGTCGGCCATGCGGGGCACCCGGCCGGCCGGGCCGAAGTCCGAATCGGTCAGGTCGGCCGTGGAATCCGGCCGCCGGGGCTGCGGCAGCCACCGGGGATGCGCGATCCGGGCCAGCCGACAGCCCGAGGGGAAGAACAGCGACAGGGCGTCCGACGACCAGACCCCGGCCATGCGCGTGAAGTCCGGCACCGTGCCCGAGGGGGAGGACGACGAATTGCACAGCGGCAACTGCCGGCGGCTGATGCTGAAGGACCGGGCAATGTGCCGGGCATGGCGCGAGGGCGGCGACCGCGGGTCGCGCGTGGCCGGCCGGTAGAAGAGCGATGGCGACCCGGCGATGTGGGCCCCGGCCCCGAGGGGCGCCGGCAGGGGGTACACCACCTGGCGGTGCCGGTTCCGGAAGTTGGTCTCCGGGGATTGCTGCGAGGCGATGTTCTCGGCCAGCGAGGCGATGGCCGACTGGTGGGTGGCATAGTTACTGGGCCACAGGCGGGTGACATTAGTTTGGGCTGCGCGAGCAAGCTGCCACCGGGGGCGGCCGGCGAAAGGGGCCCCGGGCCCGGCATACGCGGCTCCGGGGGGGGGGGGGCGGGGTGAAAAGGACCCAATGGCCGCGCGGGGACAAACGCACTCCAGACCCCGGGGGTAGTACTCCCACAGGAGATGGGCCCCGACAATCCACGCCCCCTCGATGGGCATGTAGAGCGTGGCCTCATACCAGCCCCGTCCGATGGTTGGCTGGTGGGGCCCAGAGGGGGGGGTGGCCGCGCCGGCAGAGCCGGCCGTGGCATCGGCCAGCTCGCCGGCCGCGCCGCCCGGCAGACCGGCGGCCGTGTCCGGCTCGATGTGCCCCTCATCGTCGGCCGCGCCGAAGATCTCCCCGCCCTGGGTGGCGTACAGGATGTCGAAGGCCGCGTGCCCGGCGCATGCGCGCGGCGCGCGCAGCGCGCTGTCCCACCCCGAGTAGCCCGGGTGCTGGGTCGAGGGGTTCAGCGGGAAGAAGGACCAGCTGCCGGGGTTGGAGCAGGCGTCCGAGCCGAGCGAGTCGCAGTGGAGCTCCGGCGAGGGCATGATGCGCACGGTCCACCAGGACCCGGCGTCGCGGGCCACGGACGCGTCATTTTGCTGCTCCTCAAAGCCGACCGGCGCCACGACACTCTGCAAGTCCATCGGCCGGGGCCGTGCTGCCAGGACAAAACGCTCCGGCACGGTGGGCGCAAGGCGCTGGGCGTCCTCCGCCCGGATGACACTCGTCTGCAGGTTGGCCGTCGAGGTGACCACCATGTTGAGGGAGGCCCGGACCGCGGCCCTGGGGTTGCGTTCGCCGCGCCACCGGCCAACCGGCGACGGCGGGCGAATTGGAGGGAAGTATGACGTGCGGATGGTCAGCGGAGGACGCCTCTCGGCGGACAGGCGCCAGGACGCAAGGAGGCCCCCCGGCGCCCGGGGCAGACGCACTCGCATGTGTATTGCCCATCGACGGTGATATCCCCGCTGGGTGGGGAAAAAACCTGCCTCAGCGAGAGGGCGCGGGGAGTGAGATTGCCCGCGAGTCGGGCACCAGGGGCGCGCGCGAAAGTCAGATTAAGCACGGCCTCGGCGTGGGGGCCGCGGCGAGGGGGCTTCCACGCACCACGAGCAGCGCGACAAAAGCCGCGGCGGCGATGGTCGCCAAGAACACCTGGCGAAGGAGGACCAGGCGCCGGTCGGCGCGCGGCTTCAAGGGTCCCGAGCGACCGGCCCCCGGGAGATGGTGGTCCCCCGGGCTGGGGCCCGGCGCTGCCGGCGACTTGCGCCTTGCCCTGTTCGACCGGCTGAGCTCGGCCACCAACGAGTGCCGCTCGGTGTCGGCCGGGCTCGAGGGCGGCGCCACGGGCCGGCTGCCGGCCAGTGTCTGCAGCGCGCGGCGCAAGCCCCGGCCCAGCGACCGGAGGGGACCATCGGCTCGGCTGGTCGGGCCATGTCGCGGCCGTCCAGCTGGCCGCGACCCGTGGACTGAAAGGAGGTCCTCCTCCGCGTCGTCAAGCTCCAGGTGGAGCCCGATCCCGGGCGCGGCGTCGTCGGCTCCCATGCTTAGGCGGGGCACCTTGCGGCCGGGGGGGGGGGGAGGGGAGGGCCAAATGGGCGGAAAGGGCGCGACGCGAGCCGCGCGCGGCAAGTCTGCACGGGGAGGCTGGCGCAGCACGGGGGAGCAGCGGGGCGCGAGGGGGGGAAGGCGGGGCGCGAAAAGGAGGCAAACAACAATGCGAGAGAAAGGGGGCAAGGACAAGAAGAAGCAGATGCGGGGCTGGAGCGTCCTCTGCCGCCACTTGGGCCCGGGTCGCTGTCAGAAGGCTTCCGTCCGCGGGGCCCGCCCCGACCCATGCCAGGCCCTGGCACTGGCGGACCAAGATGCCCCCCCCCCCCCCCCCCCCCCCCCCCCCCCCCCCCCCCCCCCCCCCCCCCCCCCCCCGCCCCGGGGGGCCCCAGCGCCCCCCCCCCCCCCCCCCCCCCCTCGCCAAGGACGTTGCATGCCCACTTACGGCCCGTTGCCCAGGGAAAAGGGGCCGAAGGCAGAGTGGAGGACGCCCTCCCCCGTGAGGCCTGGTGACCAGGCAATTAAAGGCCAGCATGTGGGCGCGCCGAGTCGGCAGGCACCACCGGGGGGCGGGGGCCTGCGTGCCCTCACCTCGCACGGTCGCGCGAAGCGCAAGGCCATCAGGCAACACTCAAGCGCCCAGCGACATGGCCGGAGATGGCGGGGGCGCCGCCGGCGAGCCTACACTTGGCCAAATGCGCTGGGGGGAGCCGCCCCGCCCCCATCATGACAAGATCCAGCCAGTGACATTTCTGCCCCCCCCCCCCCCCCGGGTCCATTTCATGGAGGGACACGGACAAGGATAGGGGTCATTGCGCCGACGGACTTCCCCGTCACGGGGCGGAAAATAAGCACACGCACACGCACACACATACACACGCACGCACACACGCGCGCACACAAACACCCCTGTTGTCCCCACCGCCACCACCATCTCCCCCCCCCTGCCACGAACACCACCCCCACAATACCCGCATCAAGTGAGAGAGAGAGAGAGCCCACAATCGACTGTCAGCGTAGTTCCGTTGGCATTTGAGCACTCACCCGAAAAACAGCCGTTCCAGGTCGTCGGTATGAATGACCGCCGGGACCCGGCCATGGCCGGCCGGGCCGGGGCCGGCATCCGGGGCCGGGGGGAAGGGCGCCCACGTGCCGGCGCTCGGCGGGGCGCCGGAACTCGGCGGGCGTCTGTGCACACTGCTCCCGTGTGCAAGGCCCAGGCATGCGGGGAGGGGAGCGGCCCAGGCGAAGGGGGAGAAGAACAGGGTCAGCGTCGGCGGAGGGGGTGGGGGAGGAGGCTGAGAGTCGCGGCGAGCCGGCGCGTACGCACCCCCCGGGCGGAGCGCTCAGGCTCGAGGAGTCCGACATGTCGGACTCGGCTTGGCTGGGAAGACTTCCCGGATTGGCGGCCGGGAAGACATGCCGTTGGGGGGAGGGCGACTGGACCGCCGGCCGGCGCCGTGCCGCGGAGAGCGAGTACTCCGACGAAAGGCCGGAGGCCGAGAGCCCGGAGGCCGCATCTCCCGGGCCATGGAGGTCGGCCTCGTAAAGCGGCCGCGCTGGCGACCGGGACATCAAGATCGGGGCCGGGCCTGGGCCCGGGCCCGGAGCCGGTGCCGGGACCAGGGACAGGCTGTCCGTCGAAGAGGAGGAGGAGGAGGAGGAGGAGGAGGAGGAGAGATTGCCAGACGAGTCGACAGACCGGAGCAGCCCAGGCATGGGTGTTCCGCCGGGGAAGGGCTGCTGCTGCAGATACGCATGATGGTGATGGTGCACCGGGACCGCAGGCATCGGCCCGACCGGGGGGAAGCTGTCCATGCAGGAGATCGCCCAGCACAACACAGGTCAGAGACAAGAAGGCGCAGGGGGCAAATGGGCGGGCGGATGGCAGGAAAGGGCCAAAGGGGAGGAAGGGGCAGGCAAAAGGCGGCATCCGCGCACCCGACGGGCAGGGCGCCGCCACTCGGAGGACGAGGCGTCTTTGCTGGCGCGGGGACCGCCACCGCGGGAGTTGGTGCTGCCGACACCGGCGCCAAAGCCGGAACAGCTGCCGGCACGGGAACCGGGGTCGGGAAGGCAACCGGAGCTGCCGCGGGAACCGGTGCCGGCACCGGCGCCGGAGGTAACTCCTCCGAAGCAAAAGACACCTCGGCCTGCGAGGTGCTGCTGGCCAGCTGCGCGGCAGACCCCCGGTATGCCGAGCGGGACGCGCTGGTCCGGGCAGACCGCGAGGAGGGCGGCGTGGCCGAGGACCCGGGGGTCGACAAGAACGTCGTGTCATCCAGGATTCGGTGGATTTGCCCGGAATCGAAGTCCGTCGGGCGAAGGTGCTGCACGGCGGCCGACAGCTGCTCGATGACTCGCGTGTCGACACTGCTGGCCGCCGACAGGCTGGCGTCAGCATGGCCAGCCTCGGCCGGCAGCTCGCGCGGGACGCCAAACTGCAAATAGGTTTCCCCGAGGGGGTTCTCCCACACCCGGGCTGGGAAGGCGTCGCCCTCGCTGCCGCTGCCGGGGCCGACGCCGACGCCGGCACCGAAACCACCACCCCGGCTGCCGGCGGGGCCAGGCACCGAGGAGTCCAACAGCGACGAGGGCTCCATGACCGACCGCGAGAAGCCAACTCGGGCCATGTCGCGTCCGATGGCCGCCGCGTCCGACGGCGAACCCATGGCATTGAGCGCCGTGCCCAGGTCCTCCAGCAGCCGGTTCAGCTGGTGCGAGGACACATCGTCGGCTTCGTGCGAGCCACTCCCCCCGGAGGGGGGGGTGTATGGCTCCAGAGGCCCGGGCCGGGAAACCACGCCGCCGGCCGCCTCCGAAGGGGTCAGCCCATGGCCACCGGGGGACAGCGGCGGGAGAAGCCCACCCGGCCGCGCAGGTGCTGGCGTCGCTGCGGCCAGGCGCGCCACCCGGTCCAAGTCGCTCAACATCATCGAGGTGCTGGCCCATGAAAGGTCGTCCTCCTCTTCGTCGACCGGCAGGACGGGCAGCTCATGCTCGGTGCCGGAGTTCGACGAGCCGGACCAGCGGCCAGACGAGGCAGGCTCCCGGGTGGGGGGCTGCTGGGCCGGGCCGGCCTCCCCGCCGGCCGTATAGGTGGCCGGTTGGAGACCCGGCCGTCCCAGGCGGCCCGCGCGTCCGGCTGCACTCCCCCAGGCCGGTGCTCGGGCTCCGGCGGGCGGGGCGCCTCCTCCGGATCGTCGACATCGGCCGCCGCCGGGGCGCCCGTGCCATCGGTGGCATCGGCCCCGGTGGCGGCCGCCGAGCGCTGCCTGGCGGCCGCCGAGCGCTGCCTGGCGGCCGCGGCCTCGGCCGCTGAGCGCGACGAGCGCCGGCCGCTGGCCAACACAAAGTCCGAGTATGGGAAGTCCGCCGCCGGGCCGGGGTATCGGTCGGGAAAATGCCACTGCCCGAGAGCCTGCGCCGTGGCCGGGCCCACAAGCGGGACGCCGGGCTCGCGAACCGGCACCACGGTGGCCGCCGAGGAGGACCCTTGGCCGCCAAGACGCGATCCGGTGCTGTCCCCGGTGGAGCCGGAACCGAAGGCCGCCTGGGCGGGCCGGCCATCTGGCCGCACCGTGTGCGGTGGTTGGCCAGCGCCCACGGGCGAAAGGATCTCCACGTCGCCAGCCACGCCGGCCACTTCGGCCCCGGCCCGCGTGGCCAGCACCGGCTGGCCGGAGGCCTGTAGCCGCAGAGCACCAAGGAGCATGATCTACGTCAGGCCATGAGGGGGGGAGGGGGGGTTAGCTCCGCCGAAGGGGCAGCTACGACAGGAGGATGCGCGGGAGGAGGGAAGGGGAGGGAGAGAGAGAGAGAGGGAGAGAGAGGGAGAGAGAGGGAGAGGGAGAGAGAGAGAGAGGGAGAGAGAGGGAGGGAGGGAGAGAGAGAAAGAGAAAGAGAAAGAGAGAGAGAAGGAGGGAGAGAGAGAGAGAGAGAGAGAGAGAGGGAGGGAGAGAGAGAATAGCCAGCCAGCCCCAGCGAAAGACGGACATGATCCAAGGACACATGGTCCGGCACGGGGAGCATGCCAACGGCCATGGCCGCGGGCAGAGGCGAAGTTACCGAGGCCGACCCGCCGCTCAGTGAGTCCCACAGGGCGAAGGAGTATAGATCCGGCAAGTGGACACCATGGAAAGAGCAGCTGGGCTGCGGGCTGCCCAAGAAGGGCGCTTGCCCGGACAGGGCAGGCGGCAGGAGGTTGCTTCCATACTCATAACGCAGCTGATCCAAGAAGAGCCGGCTGGAGAAGTTGCACGCATGGTCCAGGGAGGACTCCATGCCCAGCGTGAGGAGGGCGACTTTTTTTTTCTCGACGCCAAGAACAAACGGCAAGCAGGGAAGCGGGAGCACGGATAGATCAAGAAGGGGAAAAGGCCCACCGGAGAGGCGGCGGGGAGCGGCGAGGCAAGACGGAGGAGGGGAAGTGCATGGAAAAAGCCGACCCCCGGGGGCAGTCGACCTGCGGCAAGATCGCGCCCCTTGTCTCCCCTCCCATGCCCAAAGACCGGTGACCGGGATTCCGCACAGTGCAGGCCCCCCCCCAGCCCCCCCCCAGCCCCCTCCTCCCTCGCGAGGGGTGCGCGCGCGCGCGCGCGCCAAGGCGCGTAACTGTGGGAAAGGATCGCCTGGTGCCAACGAAGAGAGGTTTGTTCATGTGGATACATTCACGTGATGAGGGAGAAGGAACAAGGACAAATGGGAACCCTGGGGGCCCCCTGGTGGACGCGCTCGAGGAGCAGACGGCGGCCTGTGCCGGCCCGTGAGGCAGAGCCAGCCGGCCAGCCAGCCAGCCAGCCAGCAAGCGAGAGGCACACACAGAAAGGGACGGCGAGAAGTGCCTGTCAGATTGGCGTCAGCCTGAGCGCCGGTAGAAGAGCAGGTACGCGTCGCCGCTCTCATCACCCGAGGGGTCGGCCCCGGCGGCAGACACCAACAGAGGCGAAGAGCGGGGGCTGCTGGTGGTCGCCGGCCGCGGCCGAGGATACTCGGCTGCACGCACCGCGGCCGGGGTGATCACTGGCGGGCTGGCCAGCGGGGTGACATGAGAATCGTCAAAGCGCAGCCAGCCCAGGGACGGGTGATTGAGCGAGCAGGTGTAGTGCCCGCCCTGAGCCGAGGGGCCATGGTGGTTTACCACTGGCGGATGTGGGAGGAGCGAGTGAGTGAGGGGTGCGCAAGGCAATGGGGGGAGGGGGGAGGGGGGGGGGGGGGGATTCCGAAGGCAAACACACCTGCATGAAGCTCGTAGGACGAGGAGGCGGACAGGCTCCGATGCATGGACTCGGCCGGGAGCTGGAGGTGCAGCGGGAAGCTAACTGGCTTGCGGATCTTGACGATGTTGATGTCCGGCATCTCGGGCATGTCGTCAATGCCGCCGAGGGGGCTGCCTCCAGGGGGCAGGAGCTGGTCTCGCCCGTTGGACACGGGCTTGATGGTGTACACAAAGCGCTTCATGTGGAAAATGATCATCGGTGGAAGGGTCTCAAAAGAGCAAGACCGATGGGCCGTGGCCTGTTGAGAGGGGGATAGGAGGGAGGGATGAGGAGAGAGGAGGAGAGAGGGGGAGAGAGGGGGAGAGAGGGGGAGAGGGGGAGTGATGAGGAGAGAGGGGGAGTGATGAGGAGAGAGGAGGAGTGATGAGGAGAGAGGAGGAGAGAGGAGGAGCAGGTCAGCAAAAAAAAAAACCATGAGGAAGAAAGGCAGCGCAGATGTTGGAAGATCTATGCGCACGGGCTGGCCGGTGTTCGAATCGACAAAGCCAAGCAGCGGTTCCTCCTGCACGAAGTTCAGAATGGCACCCTCCAGAGAGGTGACCGACGGACACTGCACGAGAAGAGGGGACAAAGGAGAGGCAGGATGAGTGGAGAGAAAAAGGCAGAGAAGAAAGGGCAGAGAGAAAAGGCCCGGTTAAAGACGGGGCAGTCCCCCCCCCCCCCCCGCTTTGCCCTCCCGGAACAGCGTACATTGATGAAGAGGGGGATCGTGTGGAAGGGCTGGAATGTGATGGAGGGGGTGTTGGAGTGGACCATCTTGACGATGTTACGCGTCCGGCCCCAGAAAATCTGCGAGATGGGGGTCGGGAACTTGGAGTCCGATCCGACCTGCAGGGGGTTTGAAGAGGATAACGAAGCGACAGGCACGCCGGGGGTGGTGAGATGATTGGTGGGGGGGGGGGGAGCCGGGCAATGAATGAAAGCCGAAAGGCACCGCAAAAGAACGCACAGCACGCGCATGCACGACTCGGTTGCCCGATGTGCCAGTAACCACGGACCAGCCGTCATCATCGTCATCATCCTGGCCGGTGCGTGACCGGCCGGTGCGCTTCTTAAACAGCCGGTCGTCGTACTGGAGGACTGCGGCGGCGGGCGAGAGCAAATGACCAAAGGCGTGAGTCGTGCGGAGAAAGAACGAGGGGAGGCGAGCGGGAAAGAAAGGGACAGAGGGAAGGGAGGGGAAGTGCGCACTCTCGCAGAACTCCTCATGCAGCAGCATCAGGATATGACCGAGAAACTCCTCGGCGTCCTCCTGGTTGCCCTATTTAAGTGGGCGTGCAGTGGAAGAGGAGGGGAGACAAAGCAAGGGCGAGAAAGGGGGAGGTGAGGAGAAAGAGTCAGCAGGAAGGAGAGATAGGGGGGGGGGGGGAGGGGGCCCAGGAGAGCAGGGGAAGGCCGGCATGCGCGTGGACATACAGTGAGGGCCAGGCCCTTCTTCGAGTGAACGGCGGTCAGGATGTCCTGCGGCAAACGCAGGGGACCCTGGGTCGAGGGGAATTGGTCAGCCGAAATGCCCACACCGTTGAGGGGCCCAGAGCTGGTGCTGACAGTGGCCCCGGCACCAACCGGCTGACGCTTATTCGGCGAGGTCGGCGCGGTGCCCGGCTGCGAGCCGGACCCGGTCAGCGGCTCAAACTGGCGCATGAGGTCCGCGCTGTCGGGCAAGGAGAAGGAGCCGCAGGGGAGGCAGGATGGAAAGGCCCATCAGGAGGGCGGCGTCAGTCGGTCATGCCAAGCACACGGAGCGCAACGGGAGACATGCCGGGGAGAGGGAGGAGAAACGAGCATGGTGCACCACGCACAAGGCCTTCAGGAAGGGGGCCAGCTCGGAGAGGGCCTGCATGTGACGCGGCGGGATCGACGCCATCAGATGCTGGATCGGGGCATAGTGGATGAGCGGCGAGAGGACCTGGGAAATTCGGATTCGGCCAGAAGGGGCCAAGGTCAGCACAAGTGTTGGAGCAGGAGCCACGTTGGACGACCCCCCACCCCCGCCGCCGGGGGGAGGGCCATGGAAAAAGGGAGCCGCCAGCCGAGCGCACCGAGTGCATGAAGCACATGTTCCCGGAATTGATGAACCCACGCGGCCGGAGGGGCGGGACCGAGGCCTTTTGCGAAAAGTTGCGAAGGTGCTCTGGAGGGTCGGCCGGCGGGCAAACCGGCCGGAAGGAAGCCCAGATCGTCGGGAGGGGGGAGAGGGGGGAGGGGTTTTGTCGGGGGTCAGGACCGAGCCCGGGCGAGGAGAATAGCGACAGAGCTGCAACAAATCAAACTGCCCGGCACGCACCGGATACCAAGGGAACGACATCCTCGATGAAAGCTTGTGGGGAGATCGGCGCGGCGCTGGGCGCCCCACCACAGGTGAGGCTAATGGTGGGCGACTCTGCGGAGAGGGGTGAGTGGGCGGAAGATGGACGGGGGCCCAAGGGGGAGCAGGGCAGCGACACCCAAGCGGGAAGCCCCCCCTCCCGCCTCAGGGGGTGGGGGGAGGAGGTGAAACAGGGAGGGGAGGGGGGGGGGAAAAAGACATACGCGACGTGTCCGACACATGGCCAGGCTGGGCGGCGACAGGGGCCGGCGACCGCGTAAAGGAAAAGAGAGACGGACTCAGGGGGAAGGCCGGGGCCGGGAGCGCAGACAGCGACAGGCCACCGGGCAGGGCATTGGCCGGCGCGGTCTCGGCGGCTGGCAGCTTGGCCGCCGCCATGTGCGCATACGACATGACGACCCGGCGACCGGGAACCGGGGCCGCGGGAGTGGCCGGCGCGCTGGCTGCCACGACCGGGGTGTTGCCGGAGCCGGCGGAGGTGGCCGCCGCCGCCGCCGCCGCCGCCGCCGCCGCAAAGCTGGGAGGCGCTGCCCGGGTGGGGGCTGGAGTCGCGGCGCCGGCCTCCGAGGCCGTGGCCCTCAGGCTGGCACGGTCCTCCGGGGCCAGACAGAAGTCCACCCGAGACAAGTCCAGAAAAGAGGAGGCGGAACCGGCATCCCGAGGGGCGGCCGCCGCCGACGGCAGGGTGCTTGGCGCGGCCGCGCTGCCGGTGGTCGAAGCCCAGGCCATCCCGGCACCCTTGGTGAGTGGCTTCCCCTTGGCGGCGGTGGCATCGGGGACAGCACCACCATCGGGCGCCTCGGCCACCGGCAGGACAGGCACCCGGAGCAGGGTCAGATTAAGCCGGCCATCGCCGGAAAGGGGCCCCAGAAAGTTGGAGTTGATCAGAGTATCGGTCATGAGAGCAGAAGCATCAAGGTGGGGGGCAAATCGCCGGCACCGGTGCAAGAGAAGTGGGAGGGGGGAGGGGGGGAGAGAGAGAGAGAGAAAGGAAGAGAGGGGGGCGGCAGGAGCGGAGAGGGGGGAGGGAAGAGAGAGGAGCGGGGTGGCGGTAGGGGAGGCACAGAGGATGGGGACGGGGGGATGGGGACGGGGCGGGAGGCCAGGGCTCGACGCGGCTGGGGGCAGCCGGCGTGGGTCGTCTTCAGGGCGGGGCGCCGAAGTCCCGGCTTCGCGACGGGCTTCCAGGCAGGGGGATCTCGCTCGACCAGATCGGCAGACGGATGGGAGCCGGCGGGTGAGGCTGGGCCCCGGGGCTCCGAACGGCGCGGGGGCTTTCCCGTGAGGCGCGGATGCTCCCGGGGGGGGGGGGGGTGCTTTGGCCGTGAACACCATGGCGGCCTCGACGCACGGCCTAGCCCAGTGTGTCGTGGTCTCTCCATCACGCCAGCCATGAAAATGATCCCACCCTCCTACGCCCTGCTGGCTGGCCGTGAGCCAGAAGAAGCCCGGGGGAGATGGGCGCAGCGACCTCGGGTCATCGGGGGGGGGGGGGGGGGACATTGCGCACCCACCGGCATTCGGCGATGCGTCGTCCTGGGCGGCCGCGGGCAAGGGGGAAGGGACAAGCATGCCCAGGCCAACCAGGTCCCCTGCCGGAGCACAACACGGGGAAGGCACTGAAAAGGCCCGCCGCCCCTTGTTTTTGTGGGTCGCCTTTTCAAGCAAAGCACAGCATCCCAGGTCTATAATAATCCGATGGATTATAGGGAGCGCCGCACGTGACACCGAGTCTCGTGTAACTGAGATACCGAGTCCAACATTCTGCGAATTGTGGGGCCGGAGGAACACCCTGGCTGGCGGCGCCGATCGGTCGGACAGGCGAGCTGGAGAGCGTCCACAACTGTTTGATATGTGTTTCCGCTGGACTTGTTTTTTTCTTTTTTTTTCTTCCCCCCCCCCCCCCCTGCACACAGATACCTTTCTCTCTTCGAGCCGGGCGCTGCCGCTGGATCGGGCCGGTTTCCTCGAGGTGCAGTGCCGGCCGTTCTCTCCTGCCCCCTCCCCCTCCTCGGCCCGGCCCGGCCCGGCTCGACGCGCCGGGGCCGGACGGCAGCCGGAGACCAGGGGGGCCCCGAGGGTTGGTTCGTTGAGGGGCTTCCGGTTCTCCGGGGGATCTGTTGTGGGCTCTCTGTGGCCGTGCCCATGGTCTGCCCTCCTTTTCGGGCTGAGCCGGCGGAGGAGATCGGGGGAACTCCGGGCTCCGCACCACCGCGGCGCCATGCGCCTAACCTGCAGAGAGTGGGGGAGGGGGAAAGGGGGGCACACCGCATCGGGGGCGATTGTGTGGGTTATTTCGGCTCGCCGGGTGGGACCTTTCTGCGGGCGGGGGTTCGGCGGCCGCCGGGTGTGGGGATACCCTTTTTGTCTGCCGGCGCGATGTTCCTCGCTCACCTCGTGGTATGCTTCTTCCGGCGGCCCCACAGGAGGCCTGCGGGCGGGGTGGCGGACCGGCGGGCCCAGGCGTGGGGATGGCGGGGCCGGGAGTGGGAATGACTTCAAGTGTGGTTTCCCCCGGCAACCGGGGATGCCGCACGAACACCTGTGCGGGGGAGATTATCGCCGAATCCAATGCGCGCGCGGGCCTGTGCTGTGTGCTACGTGAGTTGCCATTGGAGGCCACGTACGGGCCGGCCTCCGGGGGTTTCATACCATGCGTACCCCACCAGTTGATGGATTCCCCCCACCGGTAATCCCCTCCCAGGCCCCTTGGCGGCCCCTTCCTCGCCCCTCCATGACCCCCCCCCCTCCCCCCGGGGCCGAGCAAGGAGCTCGAATGCTCTGTGCGTCATGTGTGTCCCTTCAACCTTCTCCCCCGCTTGACTGTGTCCCCTGGGTGCATCGCCCAGGGCCGGACGCCCTTATGCACTGGCCCTGTGGGCTCTTCGTCAGCGCTGCTTTCCGGCTTCCCCCCAGCAACTACGGTGCCAGCATCCTTGAGATGGGCCGTACGCCGGGTCAATGGGCTAGGCCCCATGATCAGGACCATCCCACAACAAATAGATGCATGCGCTCAATTGCTCCACATGCAGCCATGTGGGATGCTGGCGGGTCTCCTCGATGGCGCCCTCGGTCTGAAGGCGCCGTGGTGAACACACACGCACACATACGTGCGCACGCGTGTGCAACATATACGGGGTGGGGGGAAAATATTTGCTCCCGACATCCTCCCCATGGGGGGGGGGGGGCGGGGGTTGTTGAGGGCGTTCGCTCTGTGGGTGCCCGCCCCTCCTTGGTTTTCTTCTCCCCCCCTCTCCCCCCGGGTTTCAGACGCTGAGTCAATGAGTCTCTTTCTTTGTCCCTCGTTCTAGCCGGTTTTCCCTCACCGCCCTGGTCCCCCCCCCCCCCCCCCCCCAGCCCACAGGCGTCACACAGGCGGGGAGATAAGCCGGGCGGGCTGGCGCACACGGATGATGGAGCCAGACCCACAACCGGACGCCTCCTTCCGATGGGAACATCCCCCGGGCTCCATTGGCAGACCGCCGGGGTCCGGGCTGGGGGGTAGGGGCGGGGGGTCAGTTGGACCTCGCCCCTCGTTCCCGCGCGCCCCTCCCCCTTCCCTCTCCACGCGCCCGACCTCAGCCTCCAGGCGGCAGCACCGTAGCTGATGTAATGCCCAAAGACCCGGCGACCTTATCGAGGCGGGAAATGCATCACCCGGCCTGGTGGAGAAGGCCACCGCTGGCAGCAGCTGACCGATCTATCTGCCGAGCCTGTGACACACCGGCCGCAGGCGCCATCCGGCGGAGGTAGACTTGTGGGGGAGGTCGACCGAGGGCGTCCTGTCTCCCCCCCTCCCCCCCCCGGGGTGGGAACAAGCAGGTGTGTTAATACCTGTTGTTGCTCTCGGCCACGGAGGCGGGCGCGGGCTCGCTGAGCCATCCCCGACCCGGCGGTGGTTGTCGTCCCGGTCGAAGGGGGTGCCGTTGCTATGCGGCGCGTGCTGGCGCTCATGCGGCGCGCGAGCAGGGGCGCCCGCGCCCGGTGCTTGTTTCTCCCACTCTCCCCGCCGGCTGCTGTCTCCGGCCCCCCCCCCCCCCCCGCCCTCGCCCTCCACAACCCTGGGGCGGTGCATCGCTTTACTGGCCACTCGCCGTCCCGCCCCCCCTGGCTCTGGGGAATGCCGAGGAGGATCCCCGCTCTCAGGGGGCCGCGGCGTCCCGTCCAGGACAGACAGGCCAACGCGGCATGAGGGTGTGTCTGTGCAAACGATACGCTGACGGCGGAGGGCCTGCTTCACCAAGCTGGTGCCCCTCGATCGACGGCTGGCCCTCCCCGGAGCGCCGAGGGCTGGGACGTATACTTTGCACCCCCCCCCCCCCCGCCCGGCAATGTGCCCATCATCTCCAGGGCCGTTATGGTCCGAAGGTCCGGATGACATCTCACGGCGGTCCACCGCCCGGACTGGGCCCTTTGGCGATCGCCCCCAAAGACCTTCCATCGCCGATCGTGCATGCTTTGGCACGAGCCGGAGCTTGCGCGTGTCCGAGGCAGACCCTCTGCGCCGATGACATGTCTGACTGGGGTGCTGCCCACAGCCCCCCGATATACACCCAGCCATCTCTCGTGTGCTTTCTTTCCCCGGCTGTCTCGCTCGTCCTCTCTCTCTCTCTCCCTCTCCCTCCCCCCCCCTCTCTCTCTCTCTTGCTCTCGCTCTGTCGCCCTCTCTCCGGGTGGGACAGGCTGGGGATGTCGACTTGGGCCCCCGTGTGGGCGATTTTTTTTACACTGCATCACAGCCGAATAGCCTGCGCTTCCGTGTATACCACTTCGTTTCGATCCAGCCCAGGTCTTTTCCCCTCCCCCCATCTGTCGCCTCTCCTCCCACCCCTCCTCGTGCTCGACCGCTCCCTTCTCTCTACTCTCTGTTGCCCCACTTCGTCTCCCCTCCGCGCCACTGCCTCCTTCGACCGCGCCTAGACGCTCGGTGAGGTTGTGCCTGATCTTGTCGATCCCCTGGTCCCCTGTCTTGCCTTGCGTGTGAGTCACGGCCTCGCATTTCCCCTCGACCCTCAGCATCGGCGGTGAAAGGCCGATTGCTTGTCCTGGTAAAGACAGATCCAGCGGGGACAAGGAGGCCACTTGCCATCCAACTTGTTGCCTTCGCTTCCCTGGCACCATCGCTCTGTCCCCTCCAGCCCCCCCCCCCCTGCCTCGATATCCCCTCTTTCTGGTCTGCTTCACCAGGGTCCTGCCCCCGCCGGCCTTGGAGCAAGCTGATGTCATGAGCATCCCAATCGCCTGTCACATACGGACACTGACACCCCCGGCCACTGCCTTGCTTGTCGCCCCCCCCCCCCCCCCCCCGGTCTCCCTCCCGACATCGTGCTTTTTCCGCTTTTGGACTCACAGAGCAGGCTCCTTCTCCCCGGTTGAGACGGCCCCAGCACACTCGCGTTCGCGCCCACGCACTCCCGCGCCCACAGCCAAGCTCCGCCTCCGGTGCAAGAGCTCCCCTCAGCGTCAACCACGTCTCAGCCTCATTGCTTAGAGCTCGTCACAAGAGAAAGACTCCTGCCGCCCCCGTACCCGGACACCTTCCATTCGATCAGTCACCCGCGCTGCCAAGCCAGAGACCCCTTTCCCGCCTCGGCCATCTGTAAGCATCGTGCTTTGTGTCTCCCCTTCATCAGGTACCCACCCGTCGGGCCATGTCCCCCCCTCCCCCGCCGGGCACTGGCGCCTATGCGCCGTCGCCCTTCATCCGTCGGCGCACCCTTTCCACTCTTCTAACTTGGCTCTTTTTTTTTTGAACACCCCTCAGCTCTTGGTCTCCGCCCAGGCCACCCCATGACCCGTGTTGGATAGCTCTTAGTGTGCGCGCGCCGACGCATCCTCACGCTCGAGCGTCAACCCCACCTGGGCGCCCTTCCCCCCCCCCCCTGTGGCGCGGCACGAAGGCCGCGGCGAAGAGAAACC